TCAAAGATCCACACTCTATAAATCCACGATAAAATTGAGTGTATTTGTTAAACGATGATCAAAGATCCACATTCGCGGATATAAATATGCAATATCTCAAGGGTATCCATCCTATGCTAAATATTTCTCATATTTAGAGATGGTGTATATCATCCTTCAAATATTATCATTCTTTCTCTTAAAAATATCTATATAGTTGAGATGATAGATCGAGATTTAAAACATTTTCTAAAGGTTGAGATAATTAAAATTGTGTAACAATAATAAAAAAACTCAAACTAGATAAGATATATTTGAATTTGTTTTATAAACTAATATATTATTTTATTGTTTCTTTTACAAACTACTCATCAATATCTTCATTGTTTGTGTGAATTGTAATATAATTTGTAATCATGATTCATGTGTTTTGAAGTTATATGTGTACGTCTTGTGCTTTTTCTACAAAATTTTATTATGAACCAATATGTATTTATCCTCCTTTCACCTTAGGATAATTTTTATCTAAATTCTCAAGTATATTGTAGATCCTCAATGTGCTTTCCTTTGCTAAAAACAAAAGCAGGGAGAGAGGTGAAATTTTAAAATATTTTATGATTGTTTGTGTTATAAAAGTTTTTCAAATTGATTTCATGGTTGATTTTTGGATTTGAAACTTTTGAACACTCGATGCTTTGTTTTAGGGGGAGTTTCTAAAAAACTTATACACATTTATACCTTCATGTATGAATATTTATAGGGATAGCTTTTCATATCATATAGCCTTTGCATGAAAAACGTTATGTGCTTATATTGTACTAATGGTATATCATACTAAACATTATGTATTTTAAACTTTGAGATTTGTTATTATCAAAAGGAGGAGGTTGTTAGAATGTTGTTCATATAATATCTCTTATTTAAGTAATAACAAACTCTTATTTACTACTCATATGTTTTGTGAGATGATGTATTTTAGGTATAAATAGGTAAACGCAAGATGAGATTCAAAAATGTAAAAAATTAACATGAATATTGATTTCAGCTTTCAAATAATCAACGGTCAAGAGGCAACCATCAATGGTCAGCATCTCATTGATGATAACAAGAGCCAATTGGAGAAAAAAAATAAAAATTAGCATCATCGATGGTCTACAGAGACTTATCGATGTTTGTAAGGAAGTCTCGATGTTTACAAGAGACAATGGAAGAAATCTAGAAACCAGAATCAGCATCATCAATTGTTACAGTTGAACTATTAATGATCACCAAGGTACCATTGAAGGTCATGATCTGCTATTGATGGTTATGATAAAATTTAGCAGTTTTTAAAATTTAATCTTAGCCGTTCGTTGACCCTTTTGGTTTCCTATTTAGACTCAGATTTAAGTATCTCTTTTGTGTCCTGTGAAAGTATATTTAAGGAAAGTTGAAGCTCATAATTAACAACGAAGTTCAACAGTACAAATACACAAAAGGAGAGATCTTTATTCTAGGGTTTGAAAGAGAGTTGATTGAATCCCCTGAGCCTTGTTCAGCTTCTTCTCGTCATGCTTTTCATCAGAGCTTGATTCTATGAGAATGAGTGCTCTAAGCTTACATCGCTACACCACTTCTTCACGGATCTTCATCTTTATTAGTTTGAAGAATAGTTTGTTAAAGGGCTGTAAGATTGCTTTATTTGTGCTTAATTGTTTTTGGGGTTATATTTAAAACTTGTGAGTTTGATAGCGTACTCAACCAGGGGTAATTGAGGGTTGGACTAGTCAGGGCTAGGTTTGACGGGAAACTCAATATGAGGTAATTGATGGTTGGGCTAGCTAGGGCTGGGTTTCTTCCGGTCATTGTAAATAGTTAGGTTAGATGATTAGTTTTTGGTAGATTTCAGGGTGCGGTCTTTAAAGCCTACTGAATCGGGTTGTGATTCTGATGAGCTTTAGTCATAGTGAGGAATGCTCTTGGAGAGAAACAAGAGTGGATATAGGGTTTTTATCCGAACCACTATAAAAATCTCATGTGTTCCTTGCTGGTTTGCTTTTTATTTTTTATTTATTATATTTTTGCTGTATTTTTTGTGTTTAATTGTAAAATTGTAGCAAACCTATTCACCTCCCTCTAGGCTTGCATTCCAACTCTAATACAATTCTATTAGTACAACATATACGTGTTTTAAGTAATATTGTTGACTAATGCAATGTGTAATGTATGGCCAATTGTATTTTCTTAGGCTTTCATTGAATGTTTGTGAATAATTGTGATTTTATTTTGCTTGGTACATAAAGTTTTACAAATTTGTGGCATTTATCTATTTTGAGAAATTTTACAGCTCAAAATTAAAAATATTTGTGCATTACACTGGTTTGAAACTAATTAATAATAATTTTGGTTATTTTCTTTATAAATAGAGAGGTTGTCTCTTAACTAGCCTAAGTAAGAGTACGACTAAACCGCTCATTTTTGAGAGGTTAACACATTTAACCCCTCTAGAGGTTATCTTAATTCTTATTTATTTTTATTGAGTTTTCTGCATATATATACCCCTCAAGTCTTCTGTATTTGTAAAATTATCCTTCAAATATTGATATTTGTAAAATTGCCCTCTAATTCTCTCGCATTGTGTTTTTTTACTCTTCCTACATAACAAATTTAGTTCCAAAAGAAAACATGTTCAAAATTATTGGAAAATTTTGACAATGTCCTATTTTGAAATCAACATTGTTATGTTGAGGGGTAAAAAAACTAATAAGAGATAATTGGGGGTAGTTTTGTAAATACCAAGATTTTAAGGTATTTTATAAATATGAAATATATGAGGGTATATGTGCAAAAAGTTCTTCTTTTATTTGGCAAATTATGGAGGCTCAACCCTTGTGTAGAGTTTTTGTACTTAGCTTAAGGAAGGGTTAAGTCTCCTAAACCCTGAACTTAACCTGTTACCAAATCATGCCTTATGGTAGGAGGGTTACGAAAAGAAATCTTTTTTCTGGAGATTAAATAATAAAGGACAAATCTTTGAAATAGACCACATTTAAAACTTAATTAGCAAAATAGATCGAAAAAATATTTAATTAGCAAAATAGACATAAAAACCTTAATTAGCAAATAGACCAACTTTTAGTCGAAGTTGACCTATTTTGCTAATATCCTCTTGTTTTATTAACTACATGTTCACCTCGTCATGACAATTTTTTTATATCGCGGGTGTAGTCTCTTATTTTTTATTATACTTTTTTCTTATTTAAAGTTAATGGTGGTCTCCCTTTGAATGCTTAAAATTTAACTATAGTTATAATTTCAAAATATAGTAATGACAATAGAAATTCATTCTATCATACTATACATTTGTTAACTACAAGACAACACTTTCTAAAGAACAATGCACAACTAAATTTACTCCAAGCTTTTTCTAGAAACTTACTTTTTACAATTAAATAGAAAATTATAATTGCATCAAATGTAATTTTCCAATATATATATATATATATATACATAATCATGTTTATAATTTTACATGAGCAAAATAGTTTTGAAATTGATAAAAGTTTGAAATAGACCAAATTTGACATTTAATTAGCAAAATAGATCAACTTTTAGCAAAAATGGTCTATTTTACTAATTAAATACTTTTTCGGTCTATTTTACTAATTAAGTTTTAAAAATGGTCTATGTCAAAGATTTGTCAAATAATAAACAAACAAACACTATGAATTTCATTAAAAGAAAGAAATGAGGAAAACTTTAATTTTTTTATAGTTGTACTATAATAATAATTCAAAAAATGAAAAATTACAAACTATTATGATAATAATTATTAAGAATATTTTATCGTCTAATTAAAAGTTATTCAAGAATAATTTACATAATAGTAAACATTTTATAATCAACAATAATAAGTTTAAAATATATAAACAGTAATTATATTTTCAAAATGCATAAATTATATATTCTTGATTATCACAAATTATGTAAAATTATTTTATCAAAATATCATACCTATAAAATATATTCTCAATTATCCTATATTACAATATACCACGTTAAAAAATTATTTCACTTTACAATTATTAGGCTTTTTGTGAAAATGATCACGGACACCAACAAACGCTAAAAAATCCCTTGATGTAACACCTCGTTTGCCATGAACTTTCCAACAGAAACCCGTAATCTAGCTGTCTCTCTCTCTCTCTCTCTCTCTCTCTCTCTCTAAGACAAGACGACATAGGATTTTGAAGAGGAGTTTATTAATCAATGAACGAACAGGAATTTCAAATAAATGTTATAATTAGTTCCTAATTTGGCGAGCCAAGTAGTTTTTAATAATGTAGTTTCCTTATTGAGCAATATTATCAATCATGAGAGGTCGTATATATACATAATTAAGAGTCCCGTATAAATAACAGTCACACATCAGAGATTGCCATAGTTAAAGTTGGGTTAAATTACACCCAACAGTCAAAAACTTTCAGACTTTTGCAGTGAACCCCACAATAAATTTCAAAATCGCAATAAACCCAATTTAACTTTTGTGTTTTGCAGAAAACCCTCAAAAGTTTCAGCATTTTGCAAATAACCTTTCTTAAATTAGAAAAAGAAACGAAAGGTATTTTAAATTTATTGTGGGTTTTGTATAATTTAACCAAAAGAAGTTCGGGGGTTTTCAAAAAAACTTGGGGTTTAGTGCGACTTGGGAAGTTATTTGGGGTGTGTTGCCCAGTGCTGAAAGTTTTGGGGGTTTAGTGTAATTTACCCTGAAGTTAAACGACTGATCCTGATGTTTGTTTCCAAATCCCAGAAAGATAGTTTGTTTCCAAATACAACAAAAGATGGCGGCCAGTTTCCAAAATAATAATCTTGCGCAGGTGTTATTTCCCAGCAAATTGAAGAAACCCTGATGCTACTATAACTAATTAAAATTAGCAATCCTAATCAGACCCCAAGTAGGAATCCCTCACGCTCCCTTTTTATTTAATGATGATTCTCCCCAGTTAAAGTCGCAGCAAAAATATCAGTAGTCAAGAAGAGCGGGCTAGGGCTTCTTAATTCTTCTTTTTTTTTGTTTCTTTTTCTTTGTGATCAAGAGCTCGGCCAGGTTTTGGTTCAGTCGATCCCAACTGCGCGCGTTGATCCATCAATTCAATGGCATTGGTGGCAGTGGGGGATCAACAAGAGTACTTCTTTGACGTGGGTTTCAAGTTTAAGCCGACCGACGTTGAAATCCTCGATCACTACGTCCGGAGGAGGTTCTCAGGATCCCCCGAACCAAACTTCTTGATAAAGAGCGAAGAAGTCTACGCGTACAAGCCGTGGAAACCTTCGGAAGCTCCATCAGTTTCCGTTCAGCAGGAGATGTATTTCTTTACTTTGAGACGCCCCGCGAGCAAGAAGAGGGTCAGCCGTCGGGTCGACGAAGGAGGTAAATGGGACTGCAAAGTCGCAGAGAAGGCCATCTACAAACAAGAGGTGAGGGACGGGAAGAAGGTGAATGTTTTGGTTGGGTACAGGAATCAGCTGAGTTTCAGGGACGCCGAAAAACGAAAGATGCACGATCAATGGATTATGCACGAGTACCGCGTTGATGAATCGGTGTTGGGGTTTCGGAGTGAGATTCAGGATAAGCTGGTGTTCTGTAAGATCTACAAGAAGAAAGAGTACATAGGGGAGGGAGAGGGAGGCGAGGAGGAGGAGGAAAGATGCGCGAAGAGACAAAGGGTGTGCCCCGAAAACTATGAATCTACCGCAAACGGCATCCCGCCTCCTGCAGCTGAAACTCCATCGTCGTCAACGGGAGGGGCCCATAGTGAGACTTCATCGTCATCATCACCGATACCACTTGCTGCTGTTGACTACGGTGCTTCATATTCGAACTACTTGATTGATGATCATCTCCAATGCCCCGAATTTGACCCCGTGATATCTCTGGACGACTTTGAACTTTCCGCAGCTGCCCTTGCACTACCTGCCGCTGAAACTTCGCCATCGGCATGCATAGTTTCGCCAATATCTCGGTTGATGGATGGGACCCATGATGAACACGAGTTTGCTTCTGCTTCCGTTGCTGCTAATGTCAAAAATGAACCAGATGCAGATCAAACTTCTACAGCGTCACTAGAAGTTGTTCTTGCTTCTGCTGCAGAAGATGATGATGATGCTTTTTATGCAAAGTTATCAGAGGAATTTAACGTTGCTCATCCTGAAATTGCAAATCTAGCGGAAGATTATCCTGCGGATGTCATTACACTCTACCCTGACGCCAGAGACTTTGTTCCGATTGAGTACTTTGACGACTACTTCACTGCAAATGAAGATCGTCATTTGGATCAGACTTTTCTTTTTCAGTCTTCTATATATTGAAATTATGTGTTTATTAGTTGTACTTAAGACTAGATCTGTCGATCTTTTGTTTTATGCTAATAGTTAATTCGAGGTTTCTTACATTTGTACTGCTGTGCTATGGAATTTGATTGCTTGTGTTTCTTAATGTGCATCTCTGTATGAATCTCCAACAATTACAGAATTTCTACATTTTATATATGTTTTAGATATTAAATTACATAAGGTCAGAGAGGAACAATTTGCACTGATGGAGAACTGAAACATTAAATGAAACAGAAGTTTAAACAGAGATTGAATGCTAATTCGGCTGAACACTAAATTATTTTTCGTCATTTTCAAGTTAAATCACTTCGCCACACACAATTTCATAAGGAAAATAGTTTTCATGTTCTCCATAGACTTTTCATCTGCAAAGCTCATTATTAGTTGATAACATACGACTACCTCTGGTGATGCATTGCTAGTTACATGAGGTGTAGATAATATCATCGTATACATACATATGCAAAGGAGAATATAAATCTATTTGACTGTAGATTTAAGCAAGAAATAAGGAATATGTTTGTATGAGTTTATGTAGAAAAATGTCCTTAAGCAATATTGAACATGTTATTTCTCAAGAATTAGTAAAACCCCCAATGTGAAGTTTTCTATTAGTCCCTTTCTCGTAGCATGTTTTCATACCTTACCTCCAAGCTTAATCTATGGAGTTGCGGTGAATGCTAATTTGAGTGGCGTAGGATCTTCAGATGCATACAGGCTTAGTTCATACATACACAACAAAGTATTATCTGAAGTAAGGAGAACTTTGTCAGCATTATATTTCTTATTTTAGTATATACCCGCTCTTATCATTATATTCATCCGCAGTAAGTAGAGCTCTGTCTAAAATTATATTTCTTAATTAATGTTTTACGTACGGAATCCTACTCATACACAAATTAGGATAATAGCGGGGCATATCCTCGAAGGGCGCTATCTGCAGCAACAAACTTTATCAGCTTATTTAGGGGCTGTTTGGTTGCATTTTTTGATGGTGAAAACCTACCACAGTTGTTGTGCGCGGCGGAAGTTCTCGAAGCGACACGAACAATAACTCGAAATAAATCACAACTACTAAGCAAATCACAATCACAGCAAGAACAAACTATTTACGTGGTTCGGCAAGTTACCTACGTCCAAGGAGGGGTGAGTTCTTACTATTAGAAATCAAGAGAATACAAATAGAGTTACAAATCTCACCGATCAAATCCTAAAACAAAGCTCTAGATCTCTCACAAATCTCCCACAATTGGATGCAATTCTTTCCAAAAGACTGCTCAACATCGTCTTTGCTTAACCCTAACTAATTACAATTAGAGTTACATATCAGCTCCAAAACGAGCCGGGTCAAAAACCGAAGCCCAGCCCAAAAACAGTCTGCAGTCGACCGCGACGGTCGACCGCGCAGGTATCGCGGTCGACCGCGGCGGTCGACCGAACACTCCCGACAAAGAACAAATCGGCTACAGGAAACTCATGGTCGACCGCGGTGGTCGATCGAATCAAACGACAGAGCCCAAAAATCCTACAGGGTCTACACGGTCGACCGTGGCAGTCAACTGCCTTCAGCTCCCAGCTCTTCCTGACCCTTGTGCACATTCGCAGTCGACCGCCACTGACTCGTTGTCGACCGCCAGTCTGTCTGGCTGAATTTCTGGGTTGTTTCTTCAGCTGTTTACCAATTCTTCAATTCTTCACCTCGGCGAATGTTTCTACCAAAACTGAACCGACATCAAATCATCCAAAAGTTTCGCAACAAGTCCGGGAACCAAACTAGAGCTGAAACGCGATCTTCCCCATCGAAATCAAACCGGCTGCATCTAAAAGACTGCCTACGTATTCTTTTGCCCAAGGAATCAAGCCGAACGTAGTTTACCCAAATGACCTCCAAAAGCCTCAACACTGAAGAATGTTCAAAAGCTTCAAACAATGACCAAATTTCACTCCTGAAACAACTTTGGTCAACATATCTGTAGGTTTATCGTTCGTGTGGACCTTCTCCAATATGATATCTCCATCATCCAAAACGTCACGAACAAAGTGGAATCTGACATCGATGTGCTTCGTGCGCGCATAATAAACATGGTTCTTCGCCAAATAGATAGCTGGCATACTATCACAATATACCCGAATAGTCTTTTATGCAATCCCCAAGTCCTCCAATAATCCACGCAACCACAAAGCCTCCTTCACAGCTTCAGTCACTGTCATATACTCCGCCTCTGTAGTAGAGAGAGCCACTGTGGACTGAAGTGTATATTGCCAACATACAGGTACACCTGCTAATGTAAAAGCATAACCTGAAGTGGACCGGCGCTTATCAAGATCTCCAGCATAATCTGAATCTATGTAACCAATACAATCCTGTCCATTCTTCTCATCCTTCGTGAATACCAAACCAACATCCACGGTACCTCGAACATACCGTAGAATCCACTTCACAGCCTCCTAATGACCCTTCCCGGGGTCGTGCATGTATCTCGATACCATGCTCACGGCCTGTGATAAATCTGACCTCGTACATACCATCGCATACATCAAGCTACCTACTGCACTGACATATGGGACCTTCGACATATAATCTATGTCCTCAACTGAAACAGACGACATCAACGCTGAAAGCTTGAAGTGGGGAGCCAATGGAGTGCTAACTGCTTTTGCATTTCCATCAAAGCTGAATTTCTTTAACATTCTGCAAATAGCTCTTTTGTGTAAGCTTCAAACTCCCCTTCACCCTATCTCTCTCGATCTCAATACCCAATATCTTCTTTGCCTCTTCAAGATCCTTCATCTCGAATTCGGATGGCAGTTCCTCCTTCAACTTTCGAATAGCTGAAGAATTCTTGGAAGCAATAAGCATATCGTCAACATATAGAAATAAATATATGTGCTCACCATCCTGTAGCTTGTGCATATAAACACATGGGTCATATGTGCTCCTCGTGTACCCATGGCCATTCATAAAGCTGTCGAATCTCTTATACCACTGTCTCGGCGATTGCTTTAAATCATAAAGAGACTTCTTCAGCTTGCAAACCAAATCTTCCTTTCCTACAGCTTTGAATCCTAAGGGTTGTGTCATGTAGATCTCCTCATCTAATCTCCGTATAGAAAGGCTGTCTTCACATCCATCTGGACCAAATCCAAATTCAACTGTGCCACTAATGCCAATAAAATCTGTATCGACGAATGCTTCACAACGGGTGAAAATACCTCATTGTAATCAATGCCCTCAAGCTGTGCATATCCCTTGGCAACCAATCTGGCTTTGAATCGAATGTCCCCAATAGAAGATCTCTCCTTCTTCGCATATACCCACTTGCAACCTATAGCTCTATTACCCTTAGGAATATGTTCAAGTGTCCAAGTGTCTTCTGAAGAGACTGCATCTCCTCCTCCATAGCTTCCCTCCACCTGATCGAATCGGGGCTAGAATCTGCCTCCCTGAATGTGGATGGAACCATATCATCAATGACCTCCACTAATAATGCATATGCGACCATGACATCATTATACCTAGCTGGCCGACGAATCACCCTCCTCGGTTTATCTGCTGCAATGGACCCCTAAACATGACATTGTTCCTGAGTCTCACCTTCCACTGTATCCTCAATTTGGTCGGCTGTCATCCTATCTCCTCCTAGTGTCACCTCTGTAGGAGCCTCGATGGATACAATGCTCTCTGGAGTGGGTGGAGTCACATCATCCTCCACCTGCTGTGATATCTCAATTGTCTGGTCTCCTCCCACCTGCTGAGGGACTCGAAGCCTCATCATGTACGCCTCATCGAATGTGATATCTCTGCTAATAACTATCTTCTTGTCCTGTGGTTCCCATAACTTAAAGTATTTAACTCCATCTCTAAATCCTACAAAGACGGCTTTCCTCGCCCTCGGATTTAATTTACCATCACCGACATAGTAATAAGCTGAACACCCAAATATCCGAAGTGACTTATAGTCACTAGCCACCGAACCAAACCAACACTCTAAAGGAGTCTTCTTGTCTATCGTAGTGCACGGTAACCTATTCACGAGATGGCTCGCATAAACCAACGCCTCGGCCCAAAAGGATCTAGGCAATCCACTCTGCAACATCATGTTAGACCCTAGAGGGGGGTGATTAGGGTCTTATGCTAATCTAATCTGATTTTATGCCAATTAAAACTAATTAACAAGTTATCCTAGCAAGTATAAAATACAACAAGATACATGAGCTAGGATAGGTAATATAAACTAATGAATATATCCTAGCAATGAGATATTACAAATATATGAGTAAGGATATATAAACAACACAAGGGTAAATAATGTAAACAAAGAGGTGGAAAAACTAACTAATGAGACAATGGCGATATGAGCAATGAGCACAAAGATAAATGAACGCCAAAGCACACACAAACACAATCAAATGATCACGAAGTTCGGACCTTCCGTCCTACATCTCCGCTCCCCACTCCCGGGGAGAAATCCACTATCATAACCGGGTTTTCTACGCTTACCCGAATAACATTTACACCTTACACTCGGTTTTCTAGCTAACCGAAAACTTTATAATCACCACTCTTGCAATCACACTCTACACCCTCTCAAGTATTGGAACTAGATGTATCTCCCTTAAGTGCTCGGACAACCTCTCTCTAGGTTCGTCAACCGACGCCACTCCTCTTGGGACGATCCCCGACTCACACCACACACTTCTCTCGATGTACAAGTGTATTACAAAGTGTATCCTCACAATTAGGCTCAATACAATAAATGTTTGTTTTCTACTATGGATGAGAACACAATGAAAGCACACACTCAATTATTACAACTCTCACCAACCCAAATATACTATGTATGAAAATACAATAAGCTCAAGTAGGTGTGTGTAGACAATGAGTGAAATAAAATCTAACTCAAATAGCAAACTAGTAATAATAAGAATATGAAAATCAATAATAAAATTGCTAGAGAAAAGAGTTAGAAAACTTCTCCATAAACACAAAGAAAGGATGATGAAATATTGAAGATGAACTCTTCAACAACTGATGTAAGCTCC